CACCGCCCTTCGCTCCATGTCCTGTCATCCGCTGGACAGGTCACTCGCTCCCCTGTGGAGCCTGGGGCCATGCAGACCTGCAGTGTCCACATAGGGCCTGAGGTCGTGGTGCTGCCAGGATAGGGCTCGCGGGCACAGCCGGGTGCTTCGAGAGGCTAGTTAAGTGTGGCTGCACCGCCCCCCATTTCCCATGGGTCCAGAGCATCCGTGGGGCCTGGGGGCCCCGTCCTCGGCGCTTCTGCCTGCAGCGGGTCAGCGTCCTCTGGCGCTGGAGCCCTCCACGTATACACGTCCCCGTCTTGCCTGCTTCCGAGGGCTGCGGCCCCACCTGTCCCAAGCACGCAAGCGCCCCGCCCGCCCCACGCTGTAGCCCAGCCGGGCAGCGGGCACCCTCCTGCCGCTCCGGCCGAGCTGCCCTTGTTCTCTTCTGAGAGACACAAGCAGAAGCGTGAGATGATCTTGAAACTCGGAGGCCGTGCCGGGCGCCCTGGGCAGAGCAGCAGCCCGCTGCGGGGGTTGTGGCTGCTGGCGTAGGTTGCTGTGGCCAGGCCCCGTCCATCGGTGACGCCATGTCCAGGGCCGCCAGGCAGGTCGGTCTCCTGGGGTAGAGCGGCCACTCCCCACGAGGGCTCCGGGCCCGCTCCGGCTCCGCTGTGGGGGGCGACAGCTGGCCGCCTTCCCTGCTGTGTTCGAAGCTCAAGCTGCCCGGGGCTGCGGCTCCCCTCGCGCACGAGCTCCTCTGGCCTGAGCGTCCTCCCGGGGGGGGGCCCTGCCCGGCCCGCGGCCCTGCTGCTGGGGAGACCTGGGACCGGCTGCCGCGCTCAGCTGTCTCCCAGGCCCTGTTCCTGCCCGGCAGGCCTTCTCTGACCGCTCTCTGCTGCCGGCTCTGCACAGCCGTTGTCGTCACTGCCCCCGGGTCTCAAGCGCAAGTGTGTCCAGCGCCCACGGCCCGGCCCACCCCGCTTGCGCAGTCGGCACCCAGCGCCCCAGAGGGCGGGGCACGGCCGGCCTCTCCCAGGCCAGCCACCGCTGCTGCTCGCCCCCCCCCCGAGCCAGGCGTGGCCTCTGGCGCTTCTGGCCCGGTCTCCAGCCCAACCCAGGGGTGGAGCCGAACGCCAGCCCTGTCTGCCCCGCAGGTGTCGCCGGGCGTCATCGCCAACCCCTTCGCGGCCGGTGCCGGCCGCAGGAACAGCTTGGACAGCATCTCCTCCGTCGACCGGGAGATGAGTCCCGAGGGCCTGGGCAAGGTGAGAGCCACGAGGCGGGCAGCCCCGGGCCGGGCAGCCCAAGGTTGGCCCCCGTTGACCGGTGCCACTCTGCTCCCAGGAGAAGGAGCTGCCTGGATCCTCCCTGCCGACCCCGCCATGGGGGCCGGAGGCCCCGGTGAGTGGCAGGGCCCACCACGGGGTCCCAGGGGGCCCGCCTGCCAGAGGCGTGGGTGGGGGTGTCCGCGTCGGGGCGTGGATGCAGAACCAGAGCGGGAAGCCCCGGAGGAGCCCAGTGTCCACCGCCAGGATGGAGGGCGCCGTGGGCAGCTGGCGGGAAGGTGGCTGGTCTGCTGGGCAGTGCCAGCAGAGGGCCCTACCTGGATGCCAGAGCCCCACCCCGCCGCCGCGTCCCTGCTCTCCGCTTTGTCCCGCATTCGTCTGGGTCTGCCTACCTGTCCCACCTCTGCCATGAAGCTCCCCGCTCCCCCGCGGCAGTCCCTTGTCCTGGACAGATGGCCGCTCACCCCGGGCCTCCCACCTGCTCCCCACCTTGGGGGACAGGGAGAGCTGCTGACGGCAGGCCGAGGACAAGCCCCTGGTGCTGGTTGAGGGCGCCTCCGGGCCTGTCTGGGGACAACTGGGCTGTGACCAGGGGGCCAACTGTTCTCGGGCCCCGCGGCTGCCCCTCATCCACCGCTGCTCCTGCAGGCCCCGCCTGGGACGCCTGGAGCGACGCTGGCCAGAGCCTCCTGCTCGCCCGGCCAGCAGCAGGTGAGCACCCACAAGATGGTGTGGACAGTGCCGCCCCCCCGCCCCGTGACCTGGGACCCGGGGCACCACCATGGAGCCTGTGACGGCTCACCCTGCCCTTGGGTGTGTGGGGTCCTCGGGGCCAGTTGCCTACCCCTCCCCGCTGCGGAGTGGGGTTCTGCTGCCGAGGCCAGGCCTGGGCCCACTGTCCGGGTGGGCAGCAGCTGACCCCCGGGTTCTAGCACACTCTGTCTCTCCCTCACCCTCTCACCCTTGCGCCTGGACCCGGTCCCCTCCCGGTCTCCCGCCCCTGTCCTCTGCAGACAAAACCGGGGGTGATCCAGCCGCTGGCTCAGGCCTGGCCTAGGGGCCCCCCGGCCCCCGGGGGCAGAGGTGACCCCCGCACTGTGAGTGCCCCGCCCGCGGGAGTGGGGTGTGGGAGGAGCAGCGGAGCAGCTGCCGCCGCGGGTGGTGACGGCCGCGGGGCAGCTGTCCAGCACGGCTCCCTGTGCCGCCCTAGCCCCCCTCCCCGCCCTCCCCCGACGCGCTGCCCACCAACGTGAAGCAGGCCTACCGCACCTTCGCCGCTGTGCCCGGCCCGGCCCTGCCCCTGCCCCAGGATGGACCCGCGCAGGTAGGTGCCGCCCGCACCCCCGCTCCCCCTGCCCCGCCGGCCCAGAGGGGCCTGGGGCGTTGTCTCAGGGCCCGCTCCCCCCAGACCGCCCTGCCCGGGCCCGCCGCCCCCCCGGAGCAGCTGTCCTTCCGCGAGCGGCAGAAGTACTTCGAGCTGGAGGTCCGGCTTCCCCAGGCCGAGGGCCCCCCCAAGCGCGTGTCCCTGGTGGGTGCTGATGACTTGCGGAAGATGCAGGAGGAGGAAGGTAGGCGGGGGCGGGGGGCAGCTGGGGTCAGAGGGCCGGGGCCGCGCGGTCCTGGGCTGACCCGCCCGCCCCCCCCAGCCCGGAAGCTGCAGCAGAAGCGGGCGCAGCTGCTGAGCGAGGCGGCGGCCGAGGCGGGCCCCCCCTCCGCGCGGTGGGGCCCCACGACGAGGAGGAGCCCGAGGAGGAGCTGCCCTGGGCCGGGTCGGGCCCCGCCTCTGGGTGAGAGCCCCCGCCTTCCCTGGCCGTCCTCCGCCCGCCCGCCCCAGCCCTTCGAGCCCCCACGCCCTGTCCCTTGTCCAGGCCCGGTCCGGTGTCCTCGCCACCCCCGGGGGGCAGCGCCCCGGTGCGGACGGCCAAGGCGGAGCGGCGCCACCAGGAGCGGCTGCGTGTCCAGAGCCCGGAGCTGCCGGCGCCCGAGCGGGCTCTGTCTCCGGCCGAGCGCCGCGCGCTAGAGGCCGAGAAGCGGGCGCTGTGGCGGGCAGCCAGGTATGGCCGGTGGGCGCGGGGGGGGGGGGACGGGCGGGTGGGCAGCAGGTGCTGGCGGCCCTGCCCACCCGCCCTCCACGGCCCCGCAGGATGAAGTCCCTGGAGCAGGACGCCCTCCGCGCCCAGATGGTGCTGAGCAAGTCCCAGGAGGGCCGCAGCAAGCGTGGGCCCCTGGAGCGGCTGCCCGAGGCCCCCTCGCCTGCGCCCACCCCGTCGCCCACCCCCCTGGAAGGTCCGTGGGACCCCGGCAGGGGGAGGGCTCAGCCAGCGAGGTGGGGGTCTCGGCCAACGGCACTTTTCGCCCCCCAGACCTCGGCCCCCAGACCATCACCTCCCCGGGACGCCTGGTGAGGAGCCAGTGCAGCTGCCTGCCCCCCCAGCCCTGCGCGCCCCGGCTGGGGCTCGGGCCCCCCACCCGCTCACTCTCTGCCTTCTCCCCTCACGCTGCGAGGCCCCGCCCGGGAGGAAGCGCGCCTACCGGCTGCTGGCCGCCCTCCCCTCCTCCAGGCCCGTCTGTGGCGTGCAGGTACCGGCGCCCACCCGGCGCCGCGCCTGGCCCTCCGGTGCCTTCCCCGCCTGTCAAGTGCTGATGCTGGGGCATGGGGCACCCCCCACTTTCTGACTGGGCTCTGGGCGGCTCGGGGGAGTTCTGGGCGCCACCCCACGCCCTCCTTCTCCCCGTTTCAGTCCCCGGACTTTGTGGAAGAGCTGAGGTCCCTGGATCCGTCCCCCAGCCCTGGTGAGTCGGTGGGTCAGGGCCGGCGGGCTGCGGGCGCCTGCCCCTCAGCTCACTGCCCCCGCCCACAGGTCCACAGGAGGAGGACGGAGAGGTGGCCATGGTGCTTCTGGGCCGGCCGTCACCAGCTGCGAGGCCCGAGGAGGTGGCGCTGTGCAGCAGCCGCCGCCCCGTGCGCCCCGGCCGCCGCGGCCTGGGCCCCGTGCCCTCCTAGAGGAGCAGCTGTCCGCCCCCCCCCCCCCCCCCCCCGCCCCCGCGCGCGTCTTCTAGCCTGAGGTTAGCGTTTCCAAGAGACCCCTCCAGAGTCCCGGCCACCCACTAACTGCCCCCCAGACGGACCTCTTGGCAAGACTGTAACTAGTGACGTTTGTACAACCAAAGACTCTATTTTGTGGTTTAAGGAAAATAAAATTGATTACGTTTTAACTCGGGCGGTCAGTCTGTCCACCCTGCTCCTGCGGGGCTGGGGCCAGTGGGCGCCCCCAGCCCCCAGGGCCCATGCCCGGCGGCGGCTGCACATACACGGGGAGCAGGCGCCGCAGCTGCTCGTCCGGAGGCCGCGAGGCGCGGGTGACGAAGATGAGCCGGAAGCGGCGCAGCCGCGCCTCCTGGAACCCGGCGGGGTCATACTCGGGCCCGTCGTGGGGCCGCCACAGCGCCTGGTACCGGCCGTGCGCCAGCAGCGCGCCGCTCAGCAGCTCCTGCGCCAGCCCAGGCTGCACCTGCTCCAGCTGCCGCTGCACCACCGCAAACAGGTCCGCCTCGCGCAGGTCGAACACCAGCGGCTTCCCGTACCTGCGCGGGCGGCGGGGGCGAGGGTGGGCTCGTGGGGGCGGGGCGGGCGGCGCTCCCTTGGCACCTAGCGGCCTCACCTGAGCGCCCCCAGCAGCGCCAGCCGAATCCGCTCTGGGCGCAGGTGGTCTGGGTCCATCGTGTCCACGTAGTTGGTGTCCCGGTAGCGCAAGAAGGCGGCCGCCTGGCCCGAAGGGTCGATGACAAGGGGCCATCTGGTGGCGGCCACCAGGTCACCGTCTCGGCGGCAGCCTGGCTCTTCCCACGCCCACCCCGCCAGCCCTGCCCACTGACCGGCCGTCGGCGTGGATGCGGCCGCCCACGTCCTCCATCAGCACGTCGTGCAGCTCGGCGACCTGGCAGCGGAGCCCCGGCTCCTCCTCTGCGGGCCATGGGCCATCAGAGCGTGTGGCTCCGCCCCAGCCCGCCCGCCCGCCCTGCCCGCGCACCCACCCTCTGGGTCCTGGGTCTGTTCCCGCAGCTCCAGCCGGGCCATCGCCAGCATTTCCTCCGCCCTCCGGGCCTCCTGCCGCAGCCTGTCCACTTGGGCCTCCGCGTCCTTGATGGCCTGGAGGAGGGGCCCCACTCCCCTCAGCACCTCGCCAGAGCTTTACCCCACGTCCTGCCCAGTCCCAGAAAGGTGATACCCCCAGTTTGGGAGGGGAGGGTACCCCTTGGATGCCCACCTGGAGCATCAGCTCAGCCTTGCCCATGCTCCTCTGCTGACACTTGTTGTGCTCGGCCACCCTCCGGCTCAGCTCACAGCAGGCCTGCTGCAGCTGGGGGGGACAGGCCTGCTGCAGCTGGGGGGGACAGGCCTGCTGCAGCTGGGGGGGACAGGCCTGCTGCAGCTGGGGGGACAGGCCTGCTGCAGCTGGGGGGACAGGCCTGCTGCAGCTGGGGGGGACAGGCCTGCTGCAGCTGGGGGGGACAGGCGTGCTGCAGCTGGGGGGAACAGGCCTGCTGCAGCTGGGGGGACAGGCCTGCTGCAGCTGGGGGGGACAGGCGTGCTGCAGCTGGCGGGGGACAGGCCTGCTGCAGCTGGGGGGACAGGCCTGCTGCAGCTGGGGGGGACAGGCCTGCTGCAGCTGGGGGGGACAGGCGTGCTGCAGCTGGGGGGAACAGGCCTGCTGCAGCTGGGGGGACAGGCCTGCTGCAGCTGGGGGGGACAGGCGTGCTGCAGCTGGCGGGGGACAGGCCTGCTGCAGCTGGGGAGGTGATCCCCAGGCCAGGGCTTCTTCCCCTCTCACTCCCCCACCCACCGCACCCCCACCTGCAGAGGCTGGCACCCACCTCTTTGTGGCACTGCTGCTGCCCCTTCACCAGCCGTTGTACTTTGAGGTTCAAGCTGGGAGGGCGGGAAGGTGCTCAGTCAGAGGGGCTTCGCCACCCGCCACCCCTACCCCTGGCCTCACCTCTTGGCCTCCGCCTCCTGGTTCTGCTCGGCCTCCCGGGCCTGGCGCTGCCGCTCGGCCTCCATGTTCTGGAGCATGGTGTCCGTGAGGCTCAGGTCCCACGACTGTAGCACGCTGACCACGGCATCCAGTGAAGCCACCTAGTGACAGGGAGTGGTCAGGCATGGTGGGTGTGGCCTGTGGGGGTGTCACAGCTCGTCCCAGAGGGGCCGGAGGGTGTGCCAAGGTGGAGAGACTCGCAGCCACCGGTGCTTCCCTCCTGCTGTCTCCCGCTGACTTCAGTAGGACGCGGGGGCACTCCTGCCCCGCCCTCCCCCTGCTGCCGCCTCTCGGGGGGCAATAATGGGGTGCAGGCTGCCAGGAGGTCTGCTGTGGGCGTCCGGCCAGCAATCGCTTCTTGCTTGAGAGGGTCAGCACCACCTGCCTGCTGCTCCCGGGCTCGTCCCGAGGCCACGCCCTCCTCCTGTGGGGGCTCCTTTCTCTCTCTGGTTTTATTTCGAGTGCACGGGCCCCACCAGGCCCCACCAGCCCGCAGGGACAGCCCTTGCCTCTCTAGAATCTGGTGTGGACACTCGCCCCGCGCGGACACCTGGCGCCAGCCGGGACTGTCTCGGCTGCCTCCCCGCGCCACGGTCTCCTGGGGTCTGGACAGACGCCGCGCTCGTCTGGGCGCCTCCCGTCCGCGTTCCGGACTCTGGCGCGGCCGGTGGACCACGAGCGTGTCACCCGCGGGCCCTCCCTGAGCACGCGCTCCCCAAGCAATTCTTCCCCCCGACCGCCCTGCCGCCCGCTCCCCGCAGCGGGTCTGCCCTCCCCGACGGTGGCGCCCCGCCCTCCCTCCTCGCAGCCGCTCCCCAGGCCGCCCCTGGGCCCGCCACTCCGTCTCCGGGCTCGCGGCCGCCCCCCGCCACGGCCTGGCCAGCCGGGCCCCTTTCCCGTGTCCGGCCTCTTGGGGGTCACCGGCGCTGCCGTCCCGGAGAACGTTACTTCTCACAGTCTGTCTGGGTTTGCCGCGCAGTTCCCGGGGGGGGGGGGGGGGGGGCGGCCCGGGGCGCGCCGGCTCGCCGCCTTCTGTGTCTGCGCCCCCTGCGGCTCCGCGCGGGCCGACCCCCGGTGGAGCCTCGTGGAGCCTCGTGTGCTGCGCCCGGGCTGGGGGTGCGGCCGGGGCGGGTGCCCGCCCTCCCGACTGGCGGGCTCCAGCAGCTCTGCTCCTCTCGGCGGGCCGCGGCGTCCTGCTGCCCCGCAGCCTGGCCCTTCACTAACGTATTTCAAGACAGTCGCCGATTCCCGGGAAGTCACAAAAACCGCACGTTCCCGGCAGCGGCGCCCGGCACCCTCCTGCGCGGCAGACGCTTCTCCAGTGCCCGTGTGTGGCGGGAGCTGCAGGGCGTGGACGTGCCCGGGTGGGCCCGCGTGGGGGCGAGAGGCTACGGGTGCAGGGGGGTTACCCACAGGGGGCCCCGCTGTTCCGTCCTGCTCAAGGAATCGCCCTGCCTGGAGCCAGAGGCGGCGCCGCGCGGCCGGGGGGCAGAGGGGAGCAGCGGCCCCAGACTCGGCCGCAGACGGAGCGGGGGCTCAGGGCTGCGGCTCCCGGACCCTGGAGAAACGCCCCTGAGGGCCCCCCGCGTGGACCTGCCCGTCGGCGCCCCTGCTTCGGCTGCCACAGCCACCAGACCAACACCCCAAGCCTCCGCCCCAGCGCCTGCCGCGCGACCGCCGACCCCGAGTGAGGGCCGCTTCCCGCTGCGGTCACCGCAGCCCCTCCAGGGCACCCGCGCCCCCGGCTGCTCTGCCGCCCAGCGAGGCCCGTCGCCGTGGGCGGGCAGCAGGCACTCTCGGGCCCTGTGGGGTGCGGGGTTGGCAGCCCCTTCCCTCTTCACGGGGTCTTTGCTGAGCAGAATGTTCAGATTTTGCCAAGTCCAGTTGGGCGGCATCCTTCTGGGCACCTAGGCAGTGCGACCCCTTCCAGCCCTGGCCCTCAGCTCTGCCCGGCCGGCCCGAGGGCGCCCCCCCAGCAGGCCTGGGCTTGGCCAGGCCACCACCCTCCTCCGTGGGTCTTTTGTGTGGGTGGCCAGGTGTGGGGGAAAGCCCCCCACGGGAGGGGTGAGACCGGGCCCCGGGGAAGAGCAGAGGGCAGCACTCCAGCTGGATGGGGGGACCCCAGCCACAACCTTGGGGAGCCCGGGGTGGAAGCCTGGAAGCAGGGCTGCTAGTGGGGGGCAGGCCCCAGATTCTGGCCTCAGGCCTCAAGCTCCTCGTCAGCCCTGCAGTTGCCAGCCTCCGTTTCCCCACCTCCCTGCCACTTCCTGAGGTGGGTGAGGACTGAGCCCCGGAGCCCACGCAGAGGCGGCCGCCCGAAAGGGCCGTGGGCTTGACCGTGCTGGGCGGTGTGGAGGGTGTTCGACCCGCCAAGGGGCGGCCCCCGCCTGCGCTCCGCACCTGCTCCGGGGTGCTCCCGTCATCCGCGTGCACCCGGGGGTCGGCGCCCAGCTTCAGGAGCAGCTCCACGGCTTCCAGGTGGCCTCCGAAGGCCGCTCTGTACAGCGGAGTGCGTCCGAAGGCGCCCTGCCGGAGGGGCTCCCTGAGTCGTCCGCGGTACCTGCCGACGCCCGCACCTCGCAGCGCCTGCCCGCGCCCACCTTGCAGTTAGGGCTGGCGCCCAGCTCGGCCAGCAGCTGGATGGCCAGGGGCTGCCCGCCCGCGGCCGCCTCAGACAGTGGCGTGTTCCCGTTGCGGTCCTCGCACTCCACCATGGCCACGCGCTGCCGCGAGCGCCGCGCAGTCCCCGCCTCGTCGTGGCCCACGCCCTCGCGGGTCAGCGCCTCCTCCACCTGCGGGCGCCGGGTCAGCGCGCGGCCGCGCCCTCGGTGCCCCCACTGGCCACGCCTGCGCCACGCCCCCCTGCCCCGTGGCCCCCTGCACCCCGTGGCCCGCGCACCCCACGCACCTCCTGCAGGACAGCGCGGATCTCGCTCAGGTTGCCGTCGAAGGCAGCTTCCAGCAGGCG